ATAATTTCAAATGCTGCCAAAACGTAATCAAAAGTTAAGGTCTGAAATATGGCTTATGAACACTATTTCATACAATGGCTAATTTTCATAAATTAAATCCTAACCTTACTGAAATCAGTAGGAGTTCACCACTGATTTAAAAGGAGCAGAATTTCAGCCAGTATAGGTAACATACAACATAAAACAGAATGCGTTGTTTTATACATTTTCTTTTTTACTCTTTTTTTGTTACTCATATTATGCAATGCCTAAAGCAGTGATTTCATTGAACTTGAAAGAGGAAACTTCTCAATCTCATTAAACTCAAGGTACCCCTCATTAGACTCAAAGCAGCCCCTCAGAAAATACCAGCTTTTAGCTTTCACTGTTTTTTTTGGCTAAGGAAAAAAGATAAATTAACCTGTTGCAAAGAACTCCGAAAGACCACAACAGATGAAAATGTTTTTGACACTATAGATTCCTATTTGAAATCTTTGGGTATATCCTGTGAATTAAGTGTTGGTATTTGCACACCTAACCATGCTAATACTGCACGGCACCCTTAAAGGATCTCGGCGCACCCCAGGATGCCATGACACCCTGCTTGAGAATTACTGGCCTAGAGGCTCCAAAGAAGACTAGAGAGTCTTGTGCGTCATAATCTCTGAATAAAAAGCAAAAGACTCAAGAATAAAAAATAAAATAATTAAAATGAGATGCAATAAGTAGGTATAGCACAAAATAGAAACAAGAGAGGGAGGAAGATGAAAAGAATAATGCTTTTGCATAGGCTTTCCAGATCTGTGAATACTTACTTGGTTTCATGCTACTTAATTTTTTTTCCAAATATGAGATATATAATCAACAAATAAGAAAACCTACTGGAAGTTCTTTACCACAAGCCAATAACATAGCAATTTTATTGACTGTTATTGTTCATAATTTCATTGGTTCAGGTTGATTCCTGGTGTGGTTCCATTGACACTGATAGATTTACATCCCCAGTTAATTAAATGCAATTCTTTAATTTTTAATGGTTAATTCATTTAGTCCATACCTTTTTCCTCCAATGAATAACTCCTACAGCAGAAAATAATTTCTTAGGAAAGATAAACATTTTTGTTCTCTAAGACTACCAGGGAGACAGATTGCTTTCATTTTGCTTTTGCCAGTCTCTATTTCCTTCTTTGTTAAGGAATATCTTTGCTGTTGGATAGGAAATCAGTGTGGTCCCACATTAAGGACGTGGAAATGCGGAGGCCTAGGGGGCGGGGGTTTGGTTCAGCCCACAGAGTCAGTGAGACCTTTAGCAAGTCATTCACATTTCTCCAAAATTCATATTGCCCATTTGAGAAATGCTGATAACAATATTAGCCTACTTTTGTAGAGCAGTATAAGATGTGCCACTGAAAAGTGTTAATCACCATGTATTACTCCTCACCACTCTTACCACTAGTGTCTCTACCTTAATGGGAGTAATGTTAGTGATTATATAATGTTATGGGGGAGGGAAGATTGGCGCACCAGCCCTGAGTGCTTGGGGGACCACTTGGAAGGAGGTACAAAAAGAACAGCTGCTGGCCCAGCCACCGCCAGACCACCAGCAACTCAGCCAATGACACTGCCCCTCTCACCTGAGCCACTCAGGCATTCAGTTTTGCCTCTTGATTTAATATAATTTGGCTGCTAGGATTATAACAGTGCCATAGGGACCACAGTGATTCTAATTCCCAAGGTCACTAATTCCAAATCTACACTAACATCTGGTTCCCAATGTTGTTCCCCTGTTGGTAGCAATGGCCAGAAATTTCAAGAATGTAATTTGAAATGAATAAAGCCACATAGCCCTTTGCATTTCAGTGATGCAAACTGGTCTTTCCCATCATCACTCCCAGAATGCCAGTGTCACTACATGCACATATTTAGAGGTAGGATCAGGCCTCCGGTTTGTAACCTGATGGGGTTTCTGCGATATTAAATAGGCTTCATGTGTGAAATATCACATATTATAATATAAACAGGTCTATATTAGGTTGCACTTTGAGCAACTTATTGTAGGGTACCCAAGTCAAGCACGTTCAGAAGCGACCATTACTGATGATAACTGGAACAGGAGGTATTGGGATAGTGCAGTGGCCTCTATGAGGGATGAGCTGTATCTTAGCCTTCCTGCGAAACCAGTCTCACTAATTGCAGCACTGCAGCCTCCTTCTCCTGAGGACAGTGCACTAGCTCTGTGGGAACTCATGCACTTCATCCTGTTGTGCTGGAATATTATGGCTTTCCAGGAGCAGGAAATAAATGAAATATTTAATCTGATGCCTCCTATCCTACAGAAGGAAGAGCATGGGTTGCAACTGTCCTGAGGCTATCAGATCCTCCTGAAAAAATTCCCCGTGGTGGCCAGAACCAGAGGGGTTACTATCATGAGCAATAGATATATGCTCTTGGAGACATCCAGGCAATTGTCTAGCAGTTAAGATTAGCTAATGCAAAGCTTGCAAGTTTGCAAGTGGAATTTGTCTGTCACAATTCAACCAAAGTGTTGAATCTAACTGTTTGCACTGATCATGGGACTGACTGGGCCCCCAAAATAATCAGAACTACAAGATTAGCTGATCTAACAGTTTTTTTAAAGGTCAGCCGTAACAAGATCTGACCACCTAATATAATTAGCACATTCCAAGAAATCCAAGGAACAAGAAACCAAGGGGTTGAGCTTGGGCAGGGTAATGCTAATTTCAAACCTCAAAGTAATGTGGTGTAATTTTCTTATTGTGTGAACCCGAGTTTGGAAGGTAACCTTTCATGATAATTTCTAACACCTTTTGATCCCATAGGGTAACAGCTATAGGGCAAGATTGTGAGGGGCTCTAAAGCCAAAAATTAGCATAAGATAAGGCATAAAGGAACGTGCATGTTAAGTGACTAGTTTGAAGGACGGGACAGGACCATCGCTGTACCAAGCCTGGACCCCGGACTCCCAGTGTGAGCGAGGACCGGATCCTGACCAAGGCACTTTCCCAGTGACCCCTCAGACAGCGTTGATCGGGGACGCCTGACTTCGCTGGAACAACTTGGTGCGCACCTGGCATAGAGGGACTGCTGATGAGTTGCCAACCCCATGTGGGAATTCTGTCTATCTGTTGTTATTATTCACTATTAGCTCTTTATTACTGTACTATCTGTTTGTCGCATTAACTGTTTTGTTAACTGTTGTATGCTAAGCTATAAGTAAATTTGCCTTTACTTCACTCCTCAATCCTGAACCCAGCAGCCTAACGGCTGATGCACTCACAGCGCCTAGCTGGCCTTTGACACCCTGCCCCTCCCAAAAAAGTCACATTTTCTGCCACAATGCTAAATTTCAACAACATTGTTTGAGGCAAGGATTGTGGGGGGAGATATGTTTTATTGGATCCACTGCATGGTTGGGCTTAGACAAGCATTCGAATGTAAGGCCTCCTTCTCAGATCACCTATGAAGTGGACTGTGGTGGCTACCACATGTCTCCAAGGCTCCCACGACTGAAGTTTATTTCCTACATATGGGGACTTTGTAACATCTGGAACTTTCCCAGAGCCTGATGAAGGGCACATGAGCTTGCAAAAAAAAAGATTTGTTATTTATTTATTTATTTATTTATTTTTGTGGTTTTTTTTCAGTTGATGTAATAAAAGGTATCATTTCGGAACCACGAGTTCCAGATGTTTGCATTTCTTCAAAGGAAGTGTTTTGAAGAGACAGGCCCAGGCTGGGAGTAAACTTCTTGGCCCCCCCTTGCGTGAGTTGTGCCAAGCAGCTTGCCCAGGCCCCTTTCGGGGGTGCTGCAAGGGCAGTTCATGAGAGGAGAGGAGAGCAGAGGAGCCAGGCACTCCTCACCCTGGAGGAAGCGCGGCCGGGACAGAGGCTGGCCCT